CGTACACACACACACACACACACACACACACGAGTATTACTCGGCAATCAAAAAGAATGAAATCTTGCATTTGCAAATACATGGATGGAACTAGAGGGTATCATGCTAAGTGAAATTAGTCAGTCAGAGAAAGACAAATATCCTATGACTTCACTCATGAGGAATTTAAGATACAAAACAGATGAACATAAGGGAAGGGAAGCAAAAATAATATAAAAACGGGGGGGGACAAAAACATAAGAGACTCAAATATAAAGAACAAACAGGATTATTGGAGGGGCTGTGGGAGGGGGGATGGGCTAAATGGGTGAGGGGCATTAAGGAATCTACTCCTGAAATTGTTACACCATATGCTAACTTGGATGTAAATTTAAAAAATTAATAGAAGGCATGTGAAATTCTAAAACAAAACAAAAAGGAAATATCCTCGTGTTTTGACATAGTCAAATAAGTTAGTAAACTTAAGGAAAGCATAGCTCTTCTTTACAGTAAAATTCCAATTTTAGAATTAAAATTGAAAAAGAAGGAAAAAGAAATAGAAAATTAGCATCAGACAAACATCACAATTAACTGCTACAGGCAAAAACTGCCAATGGATGCTAAAATAGCACAAAAATCACATAGTTTCAAAGTATCTCCTCCCACAAGATACTTAGTAATTAAAAGTAGAAAATGGGGACAAACTTGGCAGCCACAACTTTAATGATATGACTAAGGTTAAAATCACTAGTAATACGTGTATCAACATTTTGTACCTCGTGTAATACAATGAAAAGGGCACATTAATTCTATGTTATTTATTAACAAAAATACCTATCCATATCATGAAGAGTAACGGAAAGGGAGAAACAAATATAAAATGTGAGACGCAAGGGAGAACTCTGTGAAGATAAATTAAAAATCAGAAGTGTCAGGGGCACCTGGGTGGCTCAGTTGGTTAACCTTCTGCCTTTGGCTCAGGACATGACCTCCTGGTTTGTGAGTTTGGGCCCTACACTGGGCTCTGTGCTGACAGTAAGAAGCCTGCTTGAGATTCTCTCTCTCTTTCTCTTTGCCCCTCCCCAACTTGCACTCTCTCCCAAAATAAAACTTTTGGGAAAAAAAAAAACAAAGCTGGAAGTGTCAGTATGTACTCACAATTTCTAAAATATTTACATATAAAGGTGTCTGTTTCCTTGTTCTGCCAGCTAAAAAAGGCCTAGAATGTCATATCCCAAGAATTAATGAGTATACCTAGTTCTCAGATTTAAGTTTCTAAGTATCATTCTCCCTAAAAAACAACAAAAACAAAAATGGATGATTCTAAGATTCTCAAAGGTTCCAAAATTAGTCTAGAACATCTTATTTTACTACAAAGTAAAGAACGCTCAAAAAAATGTTGTGGTACACCAAAAGAACCCAGATCTAATTGGGCTTCCCTTTTAACATCAATGTAAAAAAAAATACAGTAACAGATTATAACCCACTAAAAAAAAAAAAAAAAAAATAGCAACACAAGGGGCGCCTGGGTACCTCAGTCGGTTAGGCATCCGACATCAGCTCAGGTCATGATTTCACAGTTCCTGAGTTCAAGCCCTGCATCTGGCTTTGTGCTGACAGCTCAGAGCCTGGAGCCTGCTTTGAATTCTGTCTCCCTCTCTCTCTCTGCCCCTCTCCTGTTCATGCTCGGTCTCTGTCACTCAAAAAATGAACAAACCATTGAAAGAATTAAATATATTATATATGTATATATTATGTGTGTGTGTGTGTGTGTGTATGTGTGTATATATATATACATAGCAACCTAAGAGTCTACAGTTAAAATGCAGTCACATGTATGCTAGATCATACATACACACAGCTATTTTTGCTATGGAGAACTTATTTTCACGATTATCTGATGGGAGAGATATCTTCATATCACATTACCTGATAATTAAACTTAAGAAACAATGGTTGAGTGGATATTCCCTGTAAGATGCTATGTCCCAGACAGTGTCTTTATCTGTTTTCAGCCCTCATTACAGTGAGGATACAAAGCACAGTGGTTAGAATAATGAATTTTTAAACTAAGTAAAAGGAATTTGTTCACTGAGTTACATAATATTTCACACTCATCTCAACCAAATTTCCGAAAACAAACTTTTTTCAAAACTTTTTAGGGATGCCTGGGTGGCTCAGGCAGTTATGCATCTGACTTCAACTTAGGTCTCACAGTTCGTGGGTTTGAGCCCTAGGTCAGTCTCTGCTGACAGTTCAGAGCCTGGAGCCTGCTTCGGAGTCTGTGTCTTCCCCTCTCTCTACCCCTCCCCCACTTGTCTCCTTCTCTCAAAAATAAGTATTAAAAAAATTTAATAACCTTTTTAATACTATAAACCAGAGAACTAGAAATTTAAAGAATCACTTCAAATATATAGTTATACACTAACTTTGAAAAGTCTTGTTTTCTAATCCCCACAAAAAGGAAATCTACCCAAAATAAGTTGAAAGGACAAGATTTATGGCACACTGCAGTTAGAACCCAACTTTATTGTTACAACCAATTTTTATTTACAGAATATAAATCTCTTCAAAAAGATACATTCCTTCATTTAATCAATGGTAAAAGGCCTTATTAAACAGAAATAAAGCCTAAACATCACTTATATTCAAACAGAAATACAAACAACTTCATTAAAAGTTTGTGAACATACAGCAAAAATGTATTTTTTACGTAAGCAGTTACATGAATGAGGCTTTTTTAAATTGTCTTCACTGGCAACCCCATTTTTATCCACAGAATAAATTTTACACTTAAATTAACAGTAGTAAAAATGTAAAAATTAAATTTTAAACATGAAAAGATGCAACCAAAAACAGGAAGTATCTCCACTACCAAACAGATTGACAAGTTCTCAGACACTCAGATACTTTCTGAGGCATATCAAAACACCTACATCAAAATTTGCATTCATTTGAGAGGTATCAATACATTTTCAGTGCTGAGACTATTTGTAGCACTTACAGTATATACAAAGCAGCATTATACTACTATGGTTCACATTTGATAAACACAAATTTAAGGTTTATGCCACAATTGCCCAATTCAACATACAGCTAACGCAGTGACGGTTATTCATTTTGTTTTTCCTTCTGAATCTTAACAAGGAAATTATCACCTAAGAACATGGAATAATACCATGTCTCATTTCTTAGGAGAACAGTATATTTTAAAATTCAAATACTTCATATCATGGAAATTTCACCCAGCTGTAAAAAGGTTTCTAAATACAGTACACAGTTTAAGTTTCCTCTTAGTAAATTCCACCAATTGAGTTACTTTAGTACACATAACTAACAGGAAACTTCTTCAGATTATTGGACAATAAAGATCTTGGTGTGTCACTACCTAAAAAGTAGCAGCACACCACCACCATGGCAAGTAAATACTCCCACGTCTTCCACTGCATTTCCTGGGTTTTCTCCAGGTCATAAAATCTGGTTTACATGGAGATCGATGGGTCTCAACCTATCTCTGAACATTCTTTTATTAAGAGTTTTGAAATTTAACTAATGAAACAATTCAAATCAGCCAGCTTTTTCTTACCCTTCACAAACTAGTTCAAAAACAATATGTAACATTTTCAATTTTTATAAACATATTGTGTTTTGTTAAAATGATTAATGGTATTTATACCATTAATGGGTAAGATACAAACAAAAATATGCCTATATTTAGGGATTAAGAGTATTTTACAGAGCAGTTTTTCATAACTAGAAAAGCTAAAAGATCCATAATGAACAAAGATTTTATTTTAACCTGCTATGTGATATTATCTATAGTACAGTAAGAGCATTAAGTATAGTGGGGAAAAAAGGCAGATTTTAGGACAGAAACATAAAAAGTTGAATTTGGGATGGTTGAAACATAAAAGGGTATTTTTCTACAAGCACTGTCATTTTCATCCATTCAATGGTTGAAATCTATTTCAAATTATGATCCAAAAATGAACGTTTTAATGTAAAAATTGGAAGAATCTAATTCATTATGTAAGATACCTTATTAATTTCAGTTTTCCAGTACTCAAGTAATGCAAACCCAAGCATTTTGTTTTATATCAACATATTTACAGACTAAGCTACAAAGATGGGGAAAAATCATTTAAAATAATTGATATGCTTTTCCATCCAAAGACCTCAAACCTAAGACATAACACTGTAATCATACAAGTGATACGTAACTGGGGTGAAAAGGTGGCTCAATATAACAAATGTCTTTAAAAAAGAAAGAAGATGGAAAAGAAAACAGAAGCAAAACAGATTACCTTAATATGTTAGTTTCCAGTTAAAGGACATTCTAAAATCAAATGAACTAAAGAAGCAAAATCAGAGAATATCAATTCTGAAATAAAGAAAAGGCTGTTTTACCACACACTTATAATTCATTTCTTTTGTGCATAATAACTACTTGCATTTGCTTTTTGAGGAAGAATGTGCAAGTTGCTCCCAATAACAGAACTTTCCTCCTACCATAAAGCATTGGTTAACTTTGTCTACCAACTGAATGACTGATTAGTATTAGAAGCTTAAGTCTGTATCACTTTGGAATGCATATAAAATGCTTATTAAAAGCAATTTGAAGCAGAAAACCAAATTGACAGTATTTTCATCTGTATTTGAAAGAATTTAATAAAAATGGAATTTATAAAAGCTTTGTATAATATTAAAAAGAAAAACCCATATAATTTTTAAAGTGAAGGTTTTTAACTTTTAACTGAGAGTGTCTGGGGGAATTTTTTCCCTTAACTTTCCTTTATGAAATTGAAATAAATATTTTTAGTTCAGCAAAAATGAAAATAGCAGTCATTAAAAGATTACTCATTACTTAGGTCTTTTCTGTCTTTTACAATCCCATAATGAACAACTTTTTATTTATAGAAGCCAACTGTGATAGGCTTAAGTTGAGCTAAGAGCTATTATTTATCAGATCTCATATATGGGATTTAGATTCATAGAGATATGTAAAATTTCAAGGCTGGGTGTTTTTTTTTGGTAGGAAAAAGTTAACAACCTTGAAAACAGGAAAGGATAATACTTCAGTTTGCAATCATCACATTGTATTTTAATTTGCCTTAGTTTAGAATCGTGACTCAAAGAAAGGAGCTCTAGCAGTGTATTAATTTACTGCTTATAGAATCTAACCTCACAAAAACTAATGGCCAACTAAAGAATGAAGAAAAGTCATATTAGGCACTGAGAGGCTAAATAAATAAGTAATGACACTGACAAAATCTGATTAACCCTATTTCCAGTTCCTCTTGTTATCCCACTGTGCAGCCAGAACTTTTGGCTATTTCCAGTCTAAAACCAAAGAGCTGAATCATTTCCTTACCAAAAAAAAAAAAAAACCTACAAAAGGGAGGAGAATGCAAAACAATACACAATCTCATATGCAAGATACAATTCACACTAATTTACAAATTTTTATTTACACTATTTTATATACATTCCAGGCAGACCTAGTTGAGTTTTGTGCTCATGTTGATCTCAAACGACCATGTGAACAGTACAATTTACTACCACATCTCTTCGATTTCCAGAAAATCAAGTGGTAGCATGGGGTCAGGAGGGAAAAGTATCAAATATTACTGGTCAGGTAAGATCATACAAGTATGGAAGAAACAAAAGGAAAAAATGTGGAATTTTGCTTGTTAAAGCATTCAGGCCACTATGGTCTATTGACTAACAACGGGTACACATGAATGCCACTTCTCTAACAACCATTTTCATATTTACAAAATGAACTTACTACCAGCTGACTTATTAGGTAAGGCATTCAAGTTCCTTAGCTTAACATAAAAAGGCAACAGAACAGACATCTCAGCAAGCCACAGGACAAATTTTAGAGGGATGTTTTTCCTTTAAATTCCCTTAAATAGTCAGTAAGAAGGGAAGCAATTTTGAACCCTATTATTAGTCTGTAGCATGATACCAAAAACCTGTACAGGAAGTGGGAGCATCAGAACTCCCAAAATCTAGCCATAGAAGTGGAGAAAATATCTTATTTTGTTTCTAACTTCCACTGCATACTCTGAGGGCTAAAATGAAAGCCTTTACATTCACTTCTGTATGAATCTCTCTGAAACACAAGAGGATCACAGCTAGCAGCTATGCACAGTCTACAAGAAAAGGCTCAGTGAATCCCTATTCAAAATAGTTTGAAGAATATGGAATAATGTAGAAAACTGATCTTGTTTCCTCTCATACATACACAGTTCTCCAAGTTATATACTGTTGCACTTTAAGAAGTCAGAAAGCAAAAAAATCAAGGGTATTACATATTATTCATTGTCCTAAGAAAATGTTCCAACTACAGACGAAAATTCCACCAAAAACGATTTTTCAAGTTCACTCTAACATTATGTAAAAAAACTACTGTTTAATTGGTTCCATTCATTTAGTCAATTAGGTAAAATTCTATTGATCCTTTAGTAATATGGTTTATAAAAACAGAAGTGAACATTTATAACACTGGGGAGGTAGAAAACAAATATTAGTTTAACACTGTTACAGACACAAGCAGATTTTAAGATTCTATTTATGTAACTAGAATTCACCATTTAAAATGGCCTTAAGTGTTTCTAATTACTTTATTAGCTTTAAACATCTTGAGATAATCCAAGTATTTTAAAGCACTTATCTGAGAATATAAGTCATTTGGAATAATACATCAAACTCCCCAGAAAATTTCTTAGAGGATATATTTGTGGTTGCATATTCTGAATATGCAGATTCATTAAGCCAACTTTGTACATGGGCACTTATGTGACCAAAGTGCAAAGCTTATCAGATTAATTTTCTAAGTTAACCATGACTGCTCATCCCCACACAGGGGCAGTCTTCAAACTCGAAGCCTATTTATCACAAAGATCTAACTTCCTTCCGTATAATAATTACCACCCTCTCATTCCCAAACAAAATAAAAATACACAAAATCAAGAGAAAGTAAAACAAGAGAAGCTTTCCTACCATGAGTATTTCTGCTTAATTCACATTTTGTTGTAACAGATTTTAAATGTAGATCAATGTCCCAAGTGTTCCTTACTTCTTTCAACTGCTTCAATTAATTTCTCTGAACCTACATACATCACGTAATCATGTCATTCTAAAGACATGGAGCCAAACTAAAACATGAAATGAAATTGTAAGGAATGAATATGCAAAGGTAAAAAAGAATATCTAAATGACATTTTCTTGTTCCCAAGTATGATAACACCATTCTATCTTTGTTTCAAAAATTAGTATTTGTTCTACTAACTAAACAGAAAAAACAGAATATTTCATTAAGTAAAACAAAATTTTTGGTAAAAAAAAATAACAGTATGATACAATCAAATTTTAAAAATAAACTAGCAACTTAAATGACCACGTTTAGTACATGAAAATATTACTTAATGCAGATTTTGGTAATATAAAATCATATCAATTTTAGGATTATATGGTAAATATTAATATATATACTGCCAGACTATGTAAGGAAAGGAGAATTTAATTTTAAGATACATTCTGTGCCCCCCTCAAATATTATCCAATAATCAATTCAAAAAGATGTACCACTAAGCATAGACAGTAAATGTACTTTACCCTCATACACAGAAATTTTTCTATTAACACCTAAGTTATCTATACCAGTATCTGGCATTTCAAGAGTGAATGATTCATATTTCTTACAGTGTATCAAGATAAAAAGGTTACACTGCATACTTTGAATGTTTACTAAAAGTATTATTAAAGTAAAACTTAAAACAAAAATTTTTCTCTGGAACATTTTCAATGCTTACACTCAACCAACAGATGAAAAGAGTCACAGAATTATGTTAAATTTATAATAAATAATTCACATATAACGGAGATTAAATTATCAAAGAAAGGATTAAACTGACATCTTTATACCTTTTTGCAGATTTAACCAACTTCTAATCCACCACACACTGATAGCAGTAGGTGTACTTCTTGACATCATTTCAGTCTATTTAAAAAATAGATTGGTCGTTTAGAGGCATAATTTGTAAAGCAAGATAACCAAATTAAACAACAGAATTTTAACAAAATTGGCTTTTCAAAATTTCTTATGAAAAGATTTCACAAGCATTGTTCAGCTACTTGAGAATAACCAAATCTCTTCTTTACTCAGGCACTTTTAATGCGGTAACTTCAGGCTTCATTTTAAAGTATTGGTTAAAACGAACAATTGCATACCTAGTGAGAAATGAATAACAACAGAATTAATCAGAGGTGGAAAACTTAATCCTTCCTTCACTTTCCACTAACCTTTCTAAACTGGGATTTTTTTTTTTAATTTTAAGATTTTCAAAGGACATATTTTTAGTTTATTGCACCACCTACTGGACACTTTTCTAATATTGAGATTTTTAACAGATTATACCAGATTTACTTGCAGAATTATTAGATGTATAAAACTTTTAAAACATTTGACCGAAAAATAACTACAGTGTACCCTATAAGTTCTACATGTACACACAAAAAAAAAAATTACAGGCAAATGTGATGCACAGAGCACAATTAAACTTACCCAAGGAAATCAAAGTCAATAGTGGAGTATTTGGCTTGAATCAAAGCCCACAATCCCCAAAAGAAATGAGAAGCCTAAAAAGGAGAGAGGAAAAAATAAATTATGATAACACATTTCTTAATAAAACAACTATCAATTAATGTTCTTTATTTTCTTCAACTCCATGCAGAATATGGTCTTGATGCTTTGCATGAAATATCCAAAACTCAGCTAATACTGAAGTGTACAGTTATCTGGATGGCTACCTCATGTCCACACGGAAAGAGATTATGTTTATAACCTCTTCAAAACATAGAGCCCAATTCCTGTAACTGCTTTGTGGAGACAGAGTTCAGCGTCAGTACTAATAGATGTTGATTAATTTTTTTTTTAATATTTTTATTTATTTCTAGGAGAGAGAGAGACAGCGTGAGCAGGGGAGGGTCAGAGAGAGAGGGAGTGACAGACTCCGAAATAGGCTCCAGGCTCCGAGTTGGCAGTCAGCACAGAGCCTGACGCGGGGCTCGAACCCACGAACCATGAGATCATGACCTAAGCGAAAGTCGGATGCTTAACCAACTAAGCCACCCAGGTGCCCCAAATATTTTTAATGATTATAACTGCTAACAGGCTTTCCTATAAAATACAGGATTATCAAAGGACTTTGGATTTTTGACATAAAAATATAAACAAAAGGGAAAATCCAAATCTCAAAAGTGAAAAATATATTTAAATATGAAAAATGTCTAGGCATGGGACGCCTGGGTGGCTTAGTCGGTTAAGCGTCCAACTTTCACTTAGGTCATGATCTCGCGGTTCGTGGGTTCGAGCCCCGCGTCGGGCTCTGTGCTGAATGCCAGCTCAAAGCCTGGAGCCTATTTCAGAGTCTGTATCTCCTCTCTCTCTGACCCTCCCCTGCTCACGCTGTTTCTCTCTCTCTCTCTCTCACTTTTAACTTTCTCAAAAAATCACTAGCAGGATATGTAACTTCCCATCAAAACAGGTACAGAAAAGAATAAACAATGCAGTAAAGAGTCAACAGCTAAAATCACATGCACAAGAAGCCTAATTATTAAAAAAAAAAAAAAAAAAGCTGAGCCCTGGAGTCAAGTTGCAAAAATTACTAGTTGTATGGCTTTGAGCAATTAACCTCTCTGTACCTTTGTTTCCTCACCTGTAAAATGCAGGTGTGACATTACGATTTATAATACGAAATACATATTTAGTCTTTATCCACTGTCTCTGGTTCATAGTTCCCCAAATCATTGGAATTTTCTAAGCATAAAAGCAACGGGTGCATCTTTTTGTTATAATATTTGGTCTTTAATAAGTTCCTGAAATAGCTCCAGAACAATAAAAGAGGAGTCTCGTTATTCAAAACAAGTCCCTTTCAATCACACCTGACTTTATGGTAATGAGCTGAGTTTTGGAAAGCAAAGCACCTCAAGACAAGGACTGATTGCCAGGGGAACCAACCAGGTGATTAGAGGGGATGGACTTTGAGGCCATCTCACAACTCACAACTTCCAGGGAAGGGAAAGAGAAGAGAAATCGAGTTCAGTTTTCAATGCCCAATGTTTTAATCAATCATGCCTATGTAACGAAGTCTCCGTATAACCCAAAAGGGGAGGCTTCATAGAGCTTCCAGGCCTGGTGAGCCAGAAAACATCCATACGCTAGACAGTGGTACAGTCTAACCTCCTAGAGAATAGAAGTTCCTTGTTCAGGTCCCCTCTAGACCTTACCCTACATACCTTTTCATCTAACTGTTCTGTACCCTTTGTAATAAACTGGCAAACACAAGTAAATGCTTCTCTGAGTTCTACGTGCCACTCTAGCAAATTAACAGCACTCAAAAAGGAAATTTTGGAAACAACCTATTTATAGCCAGTGGGCAAGAAGCACAGGTAACAAATGAAACCTGCAATTGGCATATAAAAGGGGGAACACTGGGGTGCAGTGTTGTGAGACTGAACCCTTAACCTGTGGTATCTAACACTTACCTATGGACTCAGAGGACACTGCTAAGAATTGAAGTACTACTTAGTGATGTGGAAAAAACACACATTGGAGCCTAATATATATATCTAGTATACAACAAACATTAAATAAATGTTAATTATTATTATTATATAAAATTAGAATGATAGGGGCGCCTGGGTGGCTCAGTGGGTTAAGCATCCGACTTCAGCTCAGGTCATGATCTCACAGTTCGTGGGTTCAAGCCCCGCGTCAGGCTTTGTGCTGACAGCCAGCTTGGAACCTGGAGCCGGTTTCAGATTCTGTGTCTCCTTCTCTCTCTGACCCTCCCCCTAATCTCTCTCTCTCAGAAATAAATAAAACATTTAAAAACAATTTTTTTTAATTAGAATGATAAAAATAAAGACTTTTTTAAAACCTGAATGTAATGTTTTATTTCTTTTTAATGTTTTATTTCTTAGAGAGAGAGAGAGAGAGACAGTGTGAGCAGGGGAGGGTCAGAGAGAGAGGGAGATACAGAATCCGAAACAGGCTCCAGGCTCTGAGCTAGCTGTCAGCACAGAGCCCGACGCAAGGCTCGAACCCACGAACCGTGAGACCATGACCTGAGCCGAAGTCAGACGCTTAACCGACTGAGCCACCCAGGCGCCCCTAAAAACTTTCAAAAATGGTCTTCTGGGGTGCCTAGGTGGCTCATTTGGTTAAGTGTCCAACTCCAGCTCAGGTCATGATCTCACAGTTTGTGGGTTAGAGCCCTGAATCTGGCTCTGTACTAACAGCTCAGAGCCTAGAGCCCATTTCATATTCTGTGTCTCTCTCCCTCTCTCCTCCACTCGTGCTCGCTCTCTCTCTCTCTCTCTCTCTCTCAAAAATAACAAAATAAAACAAAACAAAAATGGTCTTCTTTCTACCTGAGGAAGTCTCAGGTATTGAAAAATGAATTATGAGATGAGATGCACTTTCCTTCTTTTTAAAGTCTAAAACAGTGGCTATCAACCCAGGGAAGGTTCCTGAGACTCAAAATTATTTCTCATAATACTATTAATATATTACTTGCCTTTTTGAACATGTTAACATCTGCAATGATGGTTTAGAAGCAATGGTGGGTGAAACTACTGGCACCTTACAATATGTCAAGGCAGTGTCACCAAACGCACACACTCCCATCACCACCACACACAGTAAAAGACTAGGCTAGGCTTGTCTGCGTGAAGAATGTCCTTTACGAAGCCAGTGAAATTATTAATTTTATTAAGTCTCTACCCTTGAGTTCATGTTCTTCTGTTATGTAATGGTGTAGGGAAGGTACACATAAAGAAGTCTGCTATATACCCAAAGGAGGAAGGTTGTTTCAAGGAAAAAACATTTATGACTAAGTTGTGAGCTGAACTTGCACATTTTTAATGGAACATCATTTTTACTTGAAAGAACTGACACTCGAACCAGTTATTAGACTTGGGCATTTTGGCGGATATTTCTCAGATATAAAAAAGAGCACTTGTCATTTCTATGAAAATAATTGACAGTATTTGTTGCCAATGATAGTCTTCAAGTATTCAACCTAAAATTAGAATTTTGGAAAATTGTTATTTGACTCTGTGAGCCTACCAGCTTCTCAATACGGTATTTAAAACTTTTCTGATGATACTGATTGTGATATCAGCAAATGTGAAATTTTTATATCATATAATGAGTCGTATTAACATCTGTAAGATCTATACAACTCAATGGATCAATATTTTCCAAATAATACTGAATGGTGTTAAAATTACAAAATCATGCACTCTAAAAAAGAGCCATTCAAAGTGCAAAGTAAAGCAATGGATTATAACATAATAGAGTATGAAAAGTTAATTGATGTTTTCTGACTGCACATTGCAACTAACCTTTAAAAAATGACCACCTGTTGGGTTTGGTGAAGTTATCAAAGAGAAAATCCACAATTATCTGATAAAGGCAAATTACTCATTTCTTCCAACAACATGTGTATGACACAGAACTTTCTTTCAAGCCCCATGTCTAGCTGCAGGCTGAGTATGAAGTCTGCTTGGGACTCTCTTTCTCCCTCTCTCTCTGCCCCTCCCCTGCTTGTGCTCAAAATCTTGGGACACCTGGTGGCTCAGTCAGGTAAGTATCCAACTCCTGATTTCAGCTTAGGTCATGATCTCACGGTTTCTGAGTTCAATTCCTGCATCAGGCTCTGTGCTAACAGCATAGAGCATGCTTGGGATTCTCTCTCTTACCCCATTCTCCCTGCCCCTCTGCCCCTACTGTTTGCACACTCTCTCTCAAAAAAAAGAGAGAAAAGAAAGAAAAAAAGAAAAAAAAAAAACACTTAAAAAAAGTGTTTGGAGCCCCCTGGGTGGCTCAGGCTGGTTAAGCATCTGCCTTCAGCTCAGGTCGTGATCTCGCTGTGAGTTTGAGCCCCACACTGGGCTCTATGGGGAGCCTGGAGCCTGCTTCAGATTCTCGGTCTCCCTCTTTGGCTCCTCCCCTGCTTGTGCATGCTGTCTGTCTGTCTCTCTCAAAAATGAAATTAAAAAAAAAAAACATTTACAAAAAATCTTGAAGTGTAAAGGGAAAATCCTGAGATAAAAAAGTTTGAGAACCTCTAGTTTATATCTCCTAAGCATATTTTAAGTGTTATAAAAATCATCTATAATCTCTTCCTATCAGGCCAATTCTGTGAGTGGAAAAGACTAAAATCGGGAAATTCTACACCTAAAAATAACATCAAACCAGCTCTTCCCGCTGGTTTCAAGCAACAGTCATTCATATACTAGTATAAAATAACTAAATGATTCTACATTAGAGATGCACTATACACAAAATTCACAAAAATCCCACTTTTTGGCAGGCAACACCTTTTATAGGGTGAAAAATGAAAAAAATATATACAAGATTACACTTTTTAAAAATGTTTTATTTATTTCTGAGACAGAGACAGACAGTGCAAGCAGGGGAGGGTCAGAGAGAGAGGGAGACACAGAATCTGAAGCAGGTTAGGCTCTGAGCTGTTAGCACGAACCACGAGATCATGACCTGAGCCAAAGTCAGACGCTTAACTGACTGAGCCACACAGGCGCCCCCAACATTACACTTTTAATAGATGGAA